GCTCTTATGGTTTGAAATCATTGCTACGATTTTGAATGCCGCAGATGTTCGGTTTCGTTTACTACAGTCAAACTGAAGCGCACGTGTGTTCAGCGTCTGCAGTCTCATGAAATGAGGACATAAACACATGAACAACATCTCCAGAACTGCTCTGAGAGTCACTTCATCAGCATTTCACTCAAATAAAAGCAACCCGTCAAAATAAAAGTTAGGTTTGAAGAAATTTGTAACAGAAATATATTACTATTGTACAGTAGAATGAAAATTTTTAATAAATTTTCGTTAAATTGTAAAAGTTGTAAAAGCAATTAATTAGACATGATTTTTGATTACTAAAATGTAATTTAACCGGAAATGAAAAAAAAAAAATCCAGAAAAATTAAAACAGAAAAAACAGATTTCATAGGGCCCTACATTGCTGACCATGTGGTTTTCTCTCTTGAAGAAGTAAACGTTTCTTCTGTGTTTTTTGCTTTCCTCTCACTTAGGGTGACGTGGGTCCAGCAGGGCCGAGAGGCGATCCAGGACTTCAGGGTTTAAAAGTGAGTCTTTCATTGGGGTAATCGGGAAAAAACCCAACTTCACTTCACGCCTTTCCTCACAAAATAATCATCAGATGCTTTTAGATGCTCATTCTCAAATTTAGATGAAACAACCATTCGGCAGGAATAGAGCCTCTTCCCACTTTGGTGGAGTGTGATGTTCTCAATCTAGCTTCCTAATTACCAGCTTTTAGATGTAATTCAGTGAGCAGACTCTTTCCTTTCCTTTACTGCGAGTCACATTCGGTGTATTTTATTTCCAGGGTGATCGAGGAGAGCAAGGGTTGCCAGGGAAACCGGGGCCGCCAGGACCCACGGTAAGAGCTGAAATAATTAGAGCCTCTTTCCAAGCCCTCAGCCAGGTCTGTGTGAACGACCGCTTCCCTGTGTAACCGGCTCAATGGCTCCTTTATAAGCGTTTGACAGAAGTGTGTAGAGAGAACACACAGAGCAAGCGGCGGACAATCGCCATCCAGCACACTGGCCAGAAATGCATTGGTTTTATACAAACAAAGTGCTTTAAACCAGACCGAGTAAGTGAAGAAGAGCCAAATACATTACTGGAGACAAACACAAAGACTTTAGGAAAATCTGCTTTTGTGTGCATTTACATGCACCGGTTATGCTTTATAAGCCAACAACACCTGTGGTCACTTTCCTTTATCGGCGTAGAGTCATAAAGAGCTTAAGCATAAGACAATCGACTAGATTGCTGTGGTTTTCTTGCGTTGCCATCATTGGTTTGCATGTAAACGGGTAAAACACTTTATTTCAAAAACTGTTTGTTTGGTGTGCATGTAAACATGCTTTTTGTCTTTTTGTTTCAGGGAGCATCAAAACCAAACATTGGTACAGTTGGATTGCCAGGAAAAAAGGTATTCATATTTATTAATAAAAAATTATTTAAATAATATTTCAATTCAACACACATAATAAATTATGGCCCAGCTTAATTCTCATTGTTAAATTAAATGGTAATTGTTATAATTAAATTAAAAATAACATTTAAAATAAAAACAACTATTTGCAATAATTTTACAATTTGAAAAACAGTAAACAAAATTATTGCAGTTAATGCAGTTATATGAAAATGGGTAATACAATGGAATCACCATTTAGAATAATGGAAAATTACTCTAAAGTCAAATGTCAAGATGCATTACAGCCAAGACAAATTGAGAGAAAGTGTACTTAAAGGGACAGTCCACCCAAAAATTAAAATTCTGCTAAAAAAGGAGTCAATAGAAACAAAAACTGTTTGGTTACCAACATTCTTCAAAATACCTATGTTCCACAGAATAAAGAGAGGGTGAGTGAATAATGACAGAATTTTCAGTTTCAGCTGGACTATCCCTTTAAATGTCTTTAAATTATCCAATTAATTATTTCTGTTTTATATATTTGTAAATGACCATGTACTACTATAAAGAAATAAGCAGTGAAAAGGCCTTATTCATAAACTGTAAGCTGTCATGACAAGAATGATGATAATAAACTTGACATTTTTAAACAGGGAGAGCAGGGGGGGAAAGGAGAACAAGGACCTCCTGGAGAGCCTGGTCCAATGGTAATGTACTGTGATGTTATATGACAACACAAAATGATGTGCCAGAAATTATTTTTGTCCAGACGATGTCCTCTAAGAATTTATCATTCATTTGCTCTGTTACTTAAAACACAAAAGCAGATATAAAGATATGATACAATGCAGTGCTGCGATGATGAACCATCCTGTTCAGATTCTTCACTGTAATTAAGATGCAGCCATATTCTTTAAAAATGTGCACAGAATTGGAGATTAAAACACGTGTCCATATTTATAACTTCACATGCACAACCAAATACACAGTAAAGAGCACGAGAAGTACTGTTCAGTTTCAGACAATCTTCTTACTGAACATAATCTGTCTTGAGCTGCTGTGATCCGATGTTTCTGAGAAACTCCTGTGTTTCTTCAGGGGAAACCAGGACTCGCTGGAAATGATGGAGCAACCGGCACTGCTGGAGCAAAGGTCAGTCAATCTAGAAATTATTTTAACCGCATGCAATGGTGTAAAGAAACATAAACGTCTGTAATGTCACTCAGATTGCTATATAATAGTAATTTCCCATCAGCTCATGTCTTGAGACACTGGGACACTTGTGTGTGAAGAGTCAACTCATCGTTACTGTCAAAGGCTTTCCAGGTTGATTGAATTCATATCATGTGATTAATACACAGATATTTATAGGTCGACAGAGAGTAAAGACATCTGTCAGGCGTGGAAGTTAGGAGAGGTTAGCCATTAATTACATTTATAGTGTAAGTGTGGAATCTCCTGAGATTTGAATCGTTCCTTAACCTTCATGCACGTTCTCTGAGCTAGAGCTCCTCTCGCTGACGCGTTGAGGAGCTCAATGCTCCATAGACGGTCGGGCCCATGGGGTACCAACAGGGTTTCTGTGGGAACCCCTCCTTTGCGCTTCTGCTCTGAGGAGCAGTAAGCTCTATATGCATGAATGGTTATTGGGTCCCGCTATTTCTTCAGATGCATTTGGGTCTGGTTATATGGAACCCACGCTCTCTATCGAGATAGAGAGCATGAGACCGTGTTCAGCTGCACCAGTGGACTGTCTCTTATTGGGCCCTGCTGGGTTACCCCTTCTAATCTAGCGCCTCCTTCTGGTCGAGCTGAGAAGTGCTCCCCTCACTGTGAGGGTTAGCTATGAGTCGCTCCCAGTATGTGCTGTAAGGGCCCGCCTCAGCCCGAAAGACCTCATTTGCAACA